TTTTTCTTTTTGGGTTACACCTAGCAATGCTCAGAATTTACTCTTGCCTCTGCCTCACACTCAGGAATTACTCCTTGCAGTGCTCAGGGGAATACAGTGGATGCTGGGGATTGAACCTGGGTCAGCCATGATTTCTCAAGGTTGTCAAAATATGGCAGACACCTCTGGTTTTGCCAAAGGGTATAGCATTCTAAGAAGGCTAGAACCCTATAAGTCAAGTATAAGATTATTTTCCATTATTTAACTCTGAGATTTATCTTAATTCCGGTGGTCACTGACATTCAAATGAAACCAGTTCCCACTGGTCAGAAAGAGAACACACAGGTTAAGGCATTTGCCTAGTGTGTGGCTGTGGCTGAAACTCTGATTCTAATTCTGGTTCTTCGTAATGCTTCCCCTCTGCCTCCCCCCGACCCCCCACCACCACTAGGTGTGGCCCCTGATCACAAAACACAGGAGTGATCCCTGAGTACTGCTGAATGTGGAGGGAAGGAAGGGAGGAAGGAGAGAGGGAGGGAAGAAGGAAGGAAGAAGGCAGGTATGCACGCAGGCTCAAAAACAAGAGGAAGGAAGGAGGGAAGGCAAGACAGTTTTAAATAATTTCTTATAGAGAATATATTCTTAATCAATTTATGCAGACACATTTTTATTAAAAATGTCCATATTTTGCAGAGAGAGAAAAGTAAATGTTTCAGCTCTACTTACAAAAAGATGCAGTCTATCAGATTGTTGCAGTCTGCAGTTCAGTAAAAGGAAAGGTCACAAATCTAAAAAAAAGCAAAATTTATTGTTCCAAACCAAAAAAAAATCACTGAAAATTGCCTCAATAGCTAGTTATCCTAATGTAGAAAATGTCAATGTTCTTTTAGTAATTTTAAGAATTTATTTAAAAAATTGGTTCTGTAATTTTTTTACTCACATTTGGTTTCTATCATTCTGTCTTGTGCCTTAATTTCCCATTTTAGGATAACCAGTTTAGCCTAAAGCCATATTTTGACCTTGAGATAACAACAAAAAATACCAGTTTCGCTTAGGAAAAAGTTTAGCTTTTTCTTTTTTTTTAAAGTTAATTTATTTTATTTTCCTTTTTCCTTCCCTTTGATGTCATTGTTGTAATTGATGAGTACATTGGCTTTGGTGATATAGGGTAATGCTGGGGATTGAACTCAATAGCTCACACACGCAAGGAGATATTCTAGCACTGAGATTCATCTTTCAGGTCCTGAGACAGAATTTTATTAGTATTTTCAGTTTTATGCCTTTTTTCCATATGTATCTACACACATATTTGTGTATATTTTTATCTAGCATTATTTTTTAAAAAACATAATATATGGGGGTTTGCATTCAAAATGGGCTGGAGTGATAGCATTCAGAATGGGCTGGAGTGATAGCACAGCGGTAGGGCATTTGCCTTGCACATGGCTGACCCCGCAGACCCGAGTTCGATTCCTCTGCCCCTCTCAGAGAGCCCAGGAAGCTACAGAGAGTATCTCGCCTGCACGGCAAAGCCTGGCAAGCTCCCTGTGACATATTTGATATGCCAAACACAGTAACAACAAGTCTCACAATGGAGACGTTACTGGACCCGCTTGAGCAAATTAATGAACAACGGGAGGACAGTGCTACAGTGCATTCAGAATTATTTTCGCTATTTCTATTAAACCTTTTTAAAAACTTAATTTCATAATAATAAAATTCTAAGCAATTCAGAACAGTGGCACCTCAGTATCTTTTAGAAGACTTGCACATACACTCTTAAAATTTTTATAACATTAGGTGGACTGAAGTGAAACTTTCTGCTTTAACAGAACAAACACATAACAGAAATTACCAAATACAAAAGAGCTCTTCTAAAATAAATCTGGGAGCCAGAGTGATAGTACAGCGGGTAGGACATTTGCCTTGCAAGTGGCCAACCTGGGTTTTCTTCCCGGCATCCCATATGGTCTCCCAAGCACCACCAGGAGTAATTTCTGAGTGTCGAACCAGGAGTAACCCCTTAGCATCACTGGATGTGACCCCCTCCCCAAATAAATAAATACATAAATAAATCTGAACATATATAAAAATGCAAATATGGACATTATTCAGACTCAGACACAAACAAACAAGCTCTTCAGATCCTCTTACTGAACAGTTAGGCAGTGGTCTCAAAATTTTTGTCATTTGCCTACTAATATTTCAAATGACTCATATAATTTCTAATTACTCAATGACCAAGGGTGCAAATAATAAGGACAGAGTGTCTTCTGATGTGCATACTAGAGACTTATCCATAGTTTTTTGTGCATACTGGATTCTGGGTTGTACATATTGGGTACATACTGGGTTGTGCATGCTGGATTCATAGAGTCTTTGACAGATCAGAATCCCTCTCCCCCCATTCCTCCTGCCCTTTCTCACCACGGCCACGATCACACTACCACCAACATAGCACTTAGGGCAGCTGGTGCCTTGGGGGAATGTAAGGAAGAATCCTTGAGACAAATGGGTCTTGGCAGCTGTTGGGGGTTCCAAAAATTTTCCTCATGGGATCAGTTAACTGCAAGTGTCCAGCACACATCAGAGGGGCTGTCACCACTTCAGTAACATGATCAGGTAAGCCCTAAGGCCTTGATGTGGTCAATTGCTCCAACCATTGGAACCTGGGGGGGGGGGGGGGGCTAAGACATCTGAGGTGCCCAACTTCTCCTGGCTGGCAGACGCTGAACCCAAGTAAGGTTCAGTTGCTTGCCATTCAAAGAACAATATTCAAGAGAAGAGTTGGTGTGGAAAAAAAAAACAGGTTTATTTCTCTCAGGTGCCGTAAGTCTGTGAAGACAGTGGATTTGTCTCTAACCATCTTCCCTGCCCTGCCCCTACCCCCAGGCTGGGTATGGAGTCTATAAAGGGATAAAGGAAGAAGTAGGTAAAAGCAGAAAAAGGTAGTGGGAGAAGGGGTGACGTCACGTGGCCTCTTGCTCACGTCAATGGTGTGATAAAGTTATTGGGCAAAGCGTTTTTTTTTATTTTAATTTTTTTTTTTGGTGGGAGTGTCACATATGGCTGTGCTCAGGGCTTACTCGTGGCTCTGTGGTCAGGGATCACTCCTGGTGGGCTTAGGGGACTACATGAAATGCCGGGGATCGGGAATCAAAACTCAGGCTGGCCACATGCAAGCAATATGGCCTACCTGCTGTACAATTGCTTCAGCTCACTCTTTTTGAAAAGTAAGATAGCACTATGTGCAATGTTGGCCTTGTGTGGCTATGTGACATCAGCAGTAAGACATATGATACTTGTTCTTCTCTTGTCACCTGTGATTGGCTCTGAGTTTAATACTAGACATATAGCTTATAGAAACATTTCTTATAATGATGGGGAAAGGTAGAAGAAAGGGGTGAGAGAAACATCTGAAAATTTTGGAAATTTGGAAATCAATGTCTGCTACCTTAGAGCTTTATATGTACTAGCTACTTGACAAAATAAATGTTCATAAATGGAAAGAAAAATCTGATACTTCAATTAGATTCTTAAATAACCAGTTATCTTAAACCTGGGGATCGAGATAGACATCACCACTCTCATTTTCTTTTCCTTGTTGATTATTGCCCTATATTGCTTTTAATCTCAGAAACCATTAAAAAGCCTAGTTTCGTGAAGATGCAGAGTCATTCAAAGGCATATAGCTCAATTTATCATTAAAATTGTGAACTAAAACTAGTAATATACACATCATCTTACAGATTACAACTATCATTGTTTCCTAAAAATCTTGAACTATTCAAGGCCGAAGAGATCACTCTTAGGGCTGTAGCACATGCTTTTCTTTGATTTACAGCTCTGCATGGTGCCCTGAGCACCTCCAGGAGTGACTCCCAAGTAAAATGCCATCTGGTGTAGCCTCCAGACAAAAAAAACTTTAATATTCATGGTGCTTTTGTGAGTTCACTTTGGTTTCCTGGGTACCTGGCACATAATTTGAAACTATGGGTCTAGAATTTCATCATGTAGTTACATCTACTCCAAGGACACTCAGAAATATAAAGCATTAACTTTAGTTTAATTTGGCCTTGAATTTAAGTTAATTTAAATTTTGGCCTTTGCCCCAAAGTTGAATATTTAAATATTCAATTTTTATATTTTTATTCTCACATGAATAGCTCCTATCCCTGTTTGTAAACTTTTGAAGGGCAGCCAATTATTGCCTCCTTACAATAATAGTTATAACAACCATCCCTACTTATGGAACCCTTATATGCAACAAACACTCTGCTAAGGTGCCTTTTTAAATATGTTCTCACCAAAGCATGGCAATACATTTTGAAGATACTTTAGTAGTTTTCACATTTTTTACATACTTTCTATTCAGGTTAAGTATCTTGTTTAAACTCACATCGCTAGTAATTGACAAAGTGGGATTTGGACTAAGCTGTTTGACATTAGAGCCAGCTCTCATAGCCTCCACGCTCTTAAATCTTTGGTATTACTAACTACAAAAGTGAACTGAAGTATTGATGTTACCATTATTTGCTGTGCTAGCTAAAGTAACTAACTCAGTATTACTTTTTACACAGTAACTATCTTCAATAATTAAAAATGTTAGTTCTTACAAATCCACTGAGCAAGCCTACAGAAGGAAGACTTGTTCAAAATAATGCATCATCAACCATTTCAAATTCTAGTCTGAAATAATAGGGACAGAAAAGGAGGGTGCTCATGCACATTTCCTGAACTGTTATTATTATTATTATTATTATTATTATTATTTTCATTTGGGGGCCACAGCAGGCAGTTCTCAGGGCTTACTTCTGGCTCTGTGCTCACAGGGATCACTTCTGGCAGACTCAGGGGACCACACGGGATGCTGGAGATCAAATTCAGGTCACCTACCTGCAAAGCAAGCTGTAATATCACTTTTACCCCATCCTAATCTGAAATTAAACCAGGCCCCTTAGCTATAGAGATGAGCATAAGAACAACTGTGCTAACATCCTGACCATCCATTTCTGTTGCAGGGGGCCGTGGGAAAGATGGTGCCCCCATCATCACTTTTCCAGAGTTTATGGGGTTCAAACACATCCCAGAAGAGGACTTCCTGAATGTCATGACCTACCTGACTAGCATCCCCAGGTGAGTTGAACACTGCCTTCCGATGCCTTTCTAGTCAGTGTGTGTGTGTGTGTGTGTGTGTGTGTGTGTGTGTGTGTGTGTGTGTTTCTTTGGAGATCAAACCTAGGCTTTTACATGTATGGGGCATGTGCTATACTCTCGAGCTACCTTCCCAGCCTTTCATCACTGACTTTACTCTCATTGCTCATGTGAGACAGAGCTGGATTGAGATAGAATATTCCATGAGAATAGCCCAGAACAGTATGTTTTCTTATTCATCTGTCACAAACCAGAGATGTGGAAAATAATAGGAAAGCAGTTGTCTTTGAGTGTCAGCTTTGAAAAAAAAGGTGTGCATATTGATGTTATTTAATTAACATTGTCAGGTGAATGAAATGAACGGTGTGTCTGTACTGCCCGTTGTTTATTCGATTTCTTCAACCCTGTCTTCTAGGATACATAGCCAGTGCTCAAGGAACTATGAAAGGAGTCATTTCCTTTATCGCCTCTAAATGAGGGACTCAGGACCAGATGTTTTTCCCTGTCATTGTCAGATGGAGAAATTACGGCTCAGAACAAAGAAACTCAAAGTTTAGGAATAAAACTGTACTTCTACTTGAGACCATGCTGGCAATGTTTTGGGATGTCTGGGCCTTCTGTATCCTTGGTCTTACAACTTTATGCCACTTAAGTTAATTAGTATCCAAGTGTCCAAGGAATGGAATGGGGCCAGGGTCCATACTGGTGGCAAACCTGACTCTTAGTCTTGTATCCAGGCTCCATCAAAGTCAGTTCACCCTCATGTGTCTGCATCTCTTCCTTAAGGACTGGGTGGCTAGAGATTTACACAACAGTCACAGCAGGGGTGTTTTGCTTGTCTTCCATCTGCCCCCTAGGATTTAGAGTCAACAGTAGCTTTGTGAAAGAAAGGCCAGCTGGTGTTTGATTCTATCTGTAGAGTTTAGGAAGTCAATAGTTTGCATTAACCAAATCCACTCCAAAAGACTTTGGGTATTGGGGGGGTGGGGTTTGCCTTTTGTCTTGCTTCTTGTGGTTTATTTTTGATGCACTCCCTCCAAGTTCTGTCCTTAAATTTATTGGCATATGGTATGTACTATGTTGACACGTAAGAATTTGGTACTTTGCCGGTTTGGGGGATGGATGGTCTATGCCTTTGGATTTCAGTTCTCTCTGCTCAAAATCTTTTTTCACCTTCTAATTCTTGTTGAAAGGACAGCGCGGACCCAACAGTTCCTTTTACATTTTTTAAATATTTAGATCATGACCTTTAAGCAGTGCCTAGCATGAACTTTGCCATAGTTTTGCAGCAAACACTTCCACCACAGAACTACTTGTCCGCAGGCAGTTTTGCCATGGGAAGACATTTAAAAGGACAGCATGGAACATAAAAAATAATAATAAAAATTTTTTAAGGTAGATCATAAAGTATTGAATATGAATATATTGTGAGACTATTCAAATATATTTTAAGGGTTGGGTAGATAGTTCAGAAAACTAGAGCACATGTATGGGGCTCTGATTTTAATCCCTTTAACTACAGAGGACCTCCACCTACCCCAAACACCACCCTATCTGACCCTGGAAGTCCCCAGCACTGCCAAGCCTGAGCAGCACCTTATCACAGGGTCCAAGTAGTGAACCATCTGGCTCCATTGGCTGAATGACACCAGGAGTGGCCTCCCAGCCCCCCTGCATTGCTTGGGAGAAGCTCCACTTCCCCAAATGTGTGGAAATATATGACAGTATTGTGCAAAAAAAAATAATCTTTTGTTTGTTCACAGTAAGTAGAATACATTTTCTTTTATAATTCTTTGGTCATCAAACTTGCTGCAAATGTGATGACATCAGAGCTTTATGAAACCCCATACTGCTGACTACACTGCAGCAAATCACCAGTCTGCAAAGAGTTGGTTTCTTATTTCGTCAATGGAGAAATTACACCAAACCGACAACTCGTATTATTTCTCTTTATGACGAACTTGCCTTGTGGCAAATTAGCACTATAGCAAAACTACTTGTGGTGAAATTATATACAGTGAAGCTGTGTAGAACTGCCCAGCTCATCGTAGGCTTACTCAGAAGTAAACCTGGTTGAGTTTCCAGTTCTTCATGATTTATTTCAATTAAAATGCATCTTGAATGGTGCCTCAGAACTGACAGAGAGGGCAGCCTCCCTCTCCCACCCTCCATCCTCCTACCTTCATCTCCAAGTATGATGGGAGAGGAACGGTCATTCTGTTTGGTCTAATGGACTCAAGGCAATGGCAAATACTTTTATTTCACTTTATTATTTTTTTAGTTTGGGGCCACAACCCTTGGTTATCAGTGTTTACTCTTGGCTCTGTGCTCTGGGATCACTCCTGGTGGACCTTGAGGGACTATATGTGGTTCTGGGATCTAACTGGGAGCTGTACAAAACAAATTCCTAACCCCCTTATGCTCTCTCCAGCCCTGATAATGTATCACTTTAGCAGAAATTTCTATAAAGCAGCGGGGAAGAAGATGCCCAGAAGTGTTGGGTTGTTGACCGTGGATCGTGGTTGGGAGAAGGGCTCCCTTCTTCTCCTTAGAGTTGTTTGAGCTTTGGGTCTGATTTCACTCAATCCCCAGGTATGGTCATATGCTAATAAGTGGACAGTTTCCGTCTTGAATTTGCATCCTTTCGAGTCACACTGAGAGCTGTGTACTGTCCTGAGCTCCACCCTACCCAGCAAAGAGAGGAGTGAGGGGTAGAAATCGGACTACCAAATGCAGAGGACAAAATGAGGGCGGCTGTTTGGGCCTGGTTTCTCTTTTCTATTTCATGTTCCTGGCATAATTTCTTGTAAATGTGGGAGTGTTTTCATTTCCTCGAATACTCATGTCTCTTGAGAAAGAGTACCTGCCTGACCGGTTATTCCCCATTCTTCTTCCTGCCATCTGTTCCTCTGCCCTGGCTTATCCAGCCCAAGCTCCTGTCAACAGAAGACAGTGACAGTGGGGAAAATAATTTCCCTCTCAAGTTGCAATGAATGAAATTGCATTTGTTTCCTTTATAATTCCTATGCATCACAGTTTGCATATTAGTAAATATTGCCAGGCATGGCAGCCCTCTGGAGGCTGTGAAATGTTTTTATAGGACGTTGGCAGAGGGCTCATAGAACCAGAACAGATTCAATGGAAGAGGAGAGAGGGAGGATGATCAGGGCAGAGAGTGGGTATCTTTGTGACTAAAATTAACCGGAAATAGCCCGAGTACTCAATGACACATGAGTGGATAAAGATTTGGGAGAGATACACAATGGAAGTCTACTCATCTATAAGAAAAAAAATAGAGAGAAAAAGAGGAAATCTTCATGGTTGTAACTGGAGGTGGCCATGCTAAGTGAAATAAGTCAAAAGGAGAAACACAAAAGCTGGATGAGCTTATTCATTGTGAGGAGTCTCTAAAGAAACACAGCAAAGGAATGGACAATGCCTATGCAGAGTGGCAGAGACCTATCAATGGACGAACTCATGAAACTTTGGCACACGGAGCAATAAAACAAAGAAATAGACAATGCCAAGTGATGGAAAACCTTTGTCTTGAATTGCAAAACTGGAATTTTACCAAGCAGTTGAGAGAGTGATGGAAGGAATGAAGAGAGACTTTACTATGAATCTTTGGTATAGAGGCTTGGGTGCTTAGGTAGTGATGAGGCATAGTAACAGTGTTTATCAAAAGTATAAAAATAAACACTATTTTAAATTTTACCTGAACCAAAAAAAAAAAAAAAAAGAAAGAGCCAAGGATGTCTCCTTGGACTGATTTGTGTGTAGAAAGGCTTCCCACAGTCACATCCTTGCCGAGTCCCCGCCACGCTTAGGGTGCTGTAGTAGGTGCAATTGGAGGATTGAAAGGCTACCAAGCAGTGTCTCACACCTTCTTGCACTCTTCCCAGGCTGTGTGTGTGCTCACGAGTATCTGTGAAATGTGCAAGGTGCTAGAGGAGTTCTAGAAAGGAAGCAATCATTTCATATAGGAACTACAGCTAAAACTTCAGGAATGCAGGACAGATAAGATTCCCACAGTTAGATTTAGAGTGGGACATGATGGAGGGAGGAGAGAAAGGTAGAAAAAAGAGTGAGGGGGTGAGAAGAGAAGAAAGAGAGAAGGGGTGAAGAGAGGGAGGAAGAGAAAATGAGAGGGAAGAAAAGAGAGAAAGCACGGGAGAATAGTGAATCTGTTCCACACTAGATCTGGGACAATAGACTTACGTTCTCTTTCTCACCTTTCTGGAATTTGAGGTTTTATGTAGAGCCTCTTCGGGAAATTAGGGGCCAAAACAGGGAGTTTCTAGAACAGAGAGATCATCAACTGTTTTTAAAAACCACAGTTGCTCCCCCGCCCATCCCCAACTAATATTTGTATAACTGTGAATTTGTGTTGTTCTTTTCCCTCTATTATGTTTCTATGGGTTTTTCCCCTCCTGTGTTTTATTAGAAAATAACTGGAGCAAGAATTTTTATTAGATGTACAAATTGTATCTGATAATGCTTAGAGTTTTATTATTGTTCACCCTTTGCAAGAAGCCTTTGCTATAATGAATCTGTTTAGAGATCAACTTCACTTAGGAGATCTTTCCTATGTCCATTTTCTTCCCATCAAGAGCGATGGATAGGGCCAGAGAGATAGTAGAGTGGGGAAGCTGCCTTGAATGCTGCCCACCTGGGTTCAATTCTTGGCATCCTGTACGGCCCCCAAACATCACTAGAAGTAATTCCTGACTTCAGAGTCAGAGTCAGGAATAACCCCTGAACATCTCTGGATGTGCCCTCTCCAACACCCCCTAAAAAGAGTGAGGGATAGTTTTTCATTTGGGTCATAATATTCTGTCTGGTTTTCTGCTTTAGAAGGGAAGGACAGTGTTGCTTTTTGGCCTGTGACTCATGATGAAATTTGACTCTGTGTGTGGAGAGATGGGATGTGATCTATTGATGGGATTTGATTCTGTGTGTGGAAAGATGGGATGTGAACTATT